GGGTGGAGGGGCATTATGTTATGCCACCCCCGCGGCCCTCGGGGAGGGTGGCAGCGTTACGGTCAGGAACTTTGACTTACCGCGTTGCGGCGCAAGTTCTGGCTTACCCCGCGCTCTTCGGCACGACGCGCGATGCACGTCATAATCCCTCAGCGTCGAGCCTTTCCCAGCCTCCCGCTCCGAAGAGCGGAGCGGTACGCTGTTCGCGCGCAAGGCATAGCGTGTCGCCGGGGCCGCCGCCGCGAAACTCTAATCAAGGATTCCTGACAGTAGGCTTCGCACGCGGTAGGAGACCCACAGGTGATGAGCAGCTCCTGCTCGACTCCGAGAGGTGCCGCTGCGTGGCCAAGCGGACCGCCCGGCAGCCTCCTCGCGACCAGATAAGGGAGCGTCAGCATCATCGGCAGCAGGAGCAGGAAAAGCAGCAAAACCAAAGCCAGGACGATGATGATGGTGGTGATGATGCGGATGTTGATGTCGATGTTGATAGTGACAGTGATGCTGCTGCTGCTGATTCTTCCCGCAGACCGTCCCGCCCTCGACCCCAGAGTTGTACGGTGCGTAGTTTTCGGCCCTCAGAGCCAACAACAACTGTGCAGTCCCCGGGCGGCGTTGGAGCGATCGCGTTGGAGCGGGGCCTCAATGCGGTGCGGTCCCCGGGCGGCGTTCTCGTGATCGTCGCGTCCCGGAGCCTGACGGCCATTGGTGCCCGAAGGCGGCTCTGGCTGAGATCGAAGAGGTCCATTTCCACCCGAATCCTGTGCACCCGGCCCCGCGCTGAGGTGGGAGGTGGTCTACGAGACCAACAGCGGTAGGGCCGGCGTCGTCGGCTTCGCCCCAGTGCGCATGACGCAGGCGTCCCCCCCACGCCCTCTGCGCTCCCGCCCTCGCCGTCGCGCCCGCCGCCCTTCGCGGGGATGATGATGATGATGATGATGATGATGATGATGATGATGATGATGATGATGATGATGATGATGATGATGATGATGACGATGATGATGATGATGATGATGATGTGATGATGCTGATGCTGATGATGATGATGATGATGATGATGATGATGCTGATGATGATGATGATGATGATGATGATGATGATGATGATGATGATGATGATGATGATGATGATGATGATCATCATCATCATCATCAGCATCATCATCATCAGCATCATCATCAGCATCATCATCACCATCATCAGCATCAGCATCATCAGCATCATCAGCATCATCACCACCACCACCATCATCATCATCGTCATCGTCATCGTCATTGTCAGCATCATCACCACCGCCATCATCATCAGCACCATCAGCATCATCATCAGCATCATCATCATCAGCATCATCAGCATCATCATCATCAGCAGCATCATCATCATCATCGGCATCATCATCAGCATCATGATCATCACCATCATCAGCATCATCATCCTCATCATCTTCGAGTAGGGAATCGACTACATCATTGATCTATCCCAGAATTCAGTTCCCCGTCGAACCCACGACAACTGCACAGAGTGCTCGATAGATCTACGGAGCATTCCGTAGCCTCGACGGAAAGACCTATGTAGGGGGGAAATCAAGCCTGCAGCCGATCCCCGACTCGACCTCTGGAGATCCTCCGAGCGACCTCCGAGGGCATCTTTCGGGGGGAGGTCGGAGCAGGAGGAGGAGGAGGAGGAGGAGGAGGAGGAGGAGGAGGAGG